TCATTCTATTACATTGCAGAAAATTCCCGGCCAATAACTAAATGGAGCCAGGTGACTTCACTGGTTGCTAAGGACATGGCAGTTGCAGGGGGTTGCTGCTTTCTTAACAACCATTGACAGTAGCAGGGAGAAAAACCTGTTACTATACTGCATAAATGACGTTGAGCTCAAACACCCAAACAAGCAAAATTCGGTCTGAAAATTGTGTTCACACTGAACCAGGAGCTTATATCTAAATGGCAATAATCTAGAGATATGAGAAACCTGATTTTCTTGCGCACGTTGTAATTCATTGGAGTTATTCACAAAAACACACCAACAGCAGGGCTCCTTGCTGAAATTCATTCATATCAAAGTGCCAGTAATTTCTTGCAGCCACCAATTAGATTTACACCTACCTTGGACGTTTGAATCTCATTAGTGATACATCATGCTGAGATTTACCTAGGTCATTCTCAGCATGATGTACCATTCTCAGCATGCTGCGAATGATGTAGGTAAATCTCATGTTCCGTCACCTTTGCCACTTAGTGGTTCATTGAACTGGAATACGCCAGTGCAGGCTGGACTGACCATTTGGAAACTCAGGCACTGCCTGAGGGCCCGGGGTCAGTAGGGGGCCCCATGAGATGCCCCTGGTACCTTTTTCATAGGCTTTTTTTGAGTTTGGGCAAGGACACAGGGGGCCCCATGATCCCCTATTGCCCGGGGCGGAGTGCCCCATGAGTTGTCAGTCCGCCCCTGCGCTAGTGCATATCAGATGTTGGAACACAGGATTGATCCAGGTCAATAACGTACCGTAAAACAATGACGAGGACCACAGCCTAAAGTATGTAAAATGTGTGGCAGCTCCCATATTGTCTGTTGACAGGTTCCTTCTATTACATATACGTAGTTGTTGCTTTTTTATTTTTCGCCCACCCCTCTATTTTTTTCTTTTTTCATCCTTAGTACATAAAAACTTTGACAGAGAAATATAAGCATGAGAATAAAAATAAAATAAATATTCAGTGTTATATTTTTGATGATGTTCATACACATTAGATTCCAATCAGTCTGTTTCTTGACAGATTTATATTCCTCATGTTCTGTTGGTATTAAATGTCTCCTGATATTACTTTCTTTGCAACTTTCTTTGGGTGGTCCTTAAAGTACTTCTCCAGGATAAAATATCAACCTCATAGGGAGAGCATTGTTTTTTAATGAGTAGGCCCAATGATAACCACTTGCACTATGAGCAGTAAAGCTCAAACCCCATGTAGCGCTGCACAGCAGGATGCCAAACCTGCATATATCATGAGCAAATATGGCTGTCCCTGTGTACCATATATAACAGTTATTACAAATAGGACTTAAAAAAAATATTTTTTTTAGTACAGTGTCAAATACAGAATTAATTTACATAAAGCTGTTGTCTTTTACATGCAGCTACAATAGACTATACGTTTCCTATTGGTCGGAAAACAAAAGTGGGATAAAGGGCATATTACTAGTGTTCATAATAAATCTATGTTCATAACCATAATTTGTGTTAAAGTGTTTACTAAACCCACAACAGTAAAATCAGTCTGTATATGCAGTAAAGCATGCTTGTTATACTCACTGTGGAACCTAGGGGGTTAATCCTCTGCAATTTTGTAAAAAGGCTGCTTGATCCTTTTTCTTCTCTGTTCCTCTCCTTTTTCAAGTGACCACCACTTATCTCCAGACTGAATTGTAGGCATTCACATGCTCAGTTTGGTGTGTATTGCTAAAGAGGTTTTTTTGTTCTTGGGAGAGTGCATGTGATCAGCACAGGGCCAATCAGCACTGGTCAGACAGAGGTCATGGGATTTCCATTCTCCCAGAGCAGAAAGAAAACTCCTTTTTTTAAAAAAAATATTTTATTGTTTTTCAAATCACCATATCCAATGTACAAAAGCTAATAAAACAGCCAGTATACATTACACATTTCTGTCCTAACACTCCCCAAAAATAACCTTCATTTTACCCCTCACTCCTCTCTCCTCCCACCCTCAAAAACCTCCCCTGCCCCCCAACACACCCCTCCCGTTTTTCGCCTAATTATGCATTTACCTGCTCTTTTAATAATTCCTATTCCGAACTTGATATTACTTTAATAATACAGTTATTACACATATTCTAGGTATAGGTTTGATTTTTTTAAAATTTTCCCACTTTTCCCACCTTATACGGAAAACCTCCATTTTATCTTCCTCCATATAATAAAGTTCCCCTATTCTATACATCTTCTCTACCCTATCCACCCAGTCTTTTATTTTCGGTGCTTGTTGTTCCCTCCAAAATCTGGTATCAAGCCCTTTGCTGCATTCAAGTAGTACAATAGCCCAGATTTTTTTATATTTTTTTTACTGAAAGCTCGGTACCATAAAAGAGACAGGTCTCTGGGTTCTTTGAGATGTTAATCTCCGTTATTTCTTGGATTAAATGCACAATACCCCCCCCAGTATTCTTGAATCTTATATATTTTTTGAAATACCGTGCTGCCCATCTCCCCGTGGATCTACTAAGTGCTCAAAGGGTTTCCAATCTTCTTTTTTTCCTAATGGCTTTTGGGAGGTTCCCTATAAAGTGTTTTAGTTGACCATATCGCCATTCATCCATTCTGGAGAATATTTCCCTCTTACGTTCTAATTCACTAAGTGTGCTTATTTCCTCCCCCTTCATTATATCTCTTAATTGGGCATCTTTCTTTGCCCGGTGGGAAAAAACTCTGTGGATCCTAAAGGCATTAACAGTGAATTATATTCCCATCCTACTTGTTTATGTAAAGCATCCCAGACTCTTAGAACATTACGTGTAAACAAACTTGTGTTTTCTGTTAATCCACGATACTGAGGGAGTAACCAAATAATTCTACTTAAATTTGTGTAACTTAGTGTGTTTTCTATTTTTACCCAACTTTTCTCCTGTGCATTAAATGTCCAGTCATAAATTCTCACCAGACACCCGGCATCTTCCTCTGTCCTTTCTTCCTCTCCTCTGCCGCCCCTTCTTTCAGCTGAAGGATCATTCATGACGTGGCGGCGTCCCACACTGAGAGAGTGCCGGCCTGTGCTGCTCCTAGACGCCCCTAGGTGGCAGTGCGACCTAGGCGGCTGCCTAGTTTGCCTAGTGGAAGCACCGGCCCTGTATGTATGCTCCATACCTATGCAATCCCTGTGGAAGTTGGAAATCATTGTGGTAGGTACCACTACTACTGTAGAGATTGTCGCTAGCTTCTGTGTCGCATACCGAGTGGCTGCCCTGCTGCTTACTGAACACAGACAGAGGCTCACTCAGCACAGACATCATTCAGAGAATACTGCATTTTTTAAATGAATGCAAATTATTATCTGATTTGATGCAACTATGTAAATGTTGCTATAACTAACTTAAAGTAAAAAGAAAAGAGGAAATACTTACCCTGCTCTGTGCAACAATATTGCACAGAGGGTCCCTTACCTCCTCTTCTGGCAGTTCCCCACTGGTGCTGTCAGATCGTCTCTTCTTCAGGTACATCCTTAGTAAGTCAAAGGGGGCTAAGGGGGGCACCCATGTGTGTGTGCTCCCGAACTGGGCTGTATGCATCCATAGACACACACAGCACCAGTAAGGTACACCCTTGCGCCCTCCTCACAGGATTTTTGCTGTCAGCAGCAGGAGCTTATGGCTCCGCTGCTGTCAGTTTCTCCTGTGAAAGCAAGAAGTGAAGGGAGTGGTGCTGGAGCTGGAGACAAGACTAGAGTAGTGACATGGAGCCAAGTAAGTGTTTAGCGATGGGGGTGGGTAGATAGGAGTAGGTACTTTTTTACCATAATGCAGAGAATGCATTAAGGTAAAAAACTTTAAAATTTAGAACCACTTTGAGCTCAGCCAAGAATTACTGTTTATTGCATTGGAGAGGGGAAGACAGGAGATACTGTCTGTGCTGATTGTCTTGGAGGGGAACAATGGTATCACAACAGATCTGACTTTCCTCCCACCAGTGGATGGTTCGTGGCATCTTTTTCTTCTAATGGTTATTGGACCATCAACCTATGTAGCTGAAAATGGCCGCATCAAGTCTCTGTCTTCTCACATCCAAGGGCAACTCTGCTTTTTAGAAAAAGGTCCAATGAACACCCCTTTGTTTTAGGGGTCAGTGGCTACATGCTGTGTTGAAATTTTGATTTATTGCATGAAATGCTTTCAAGCCATTCCAAAATGCAGCAATAAGGACTTTCCTCATCTATTAATGGCCTGTGCTTCCTCAAAGATGAGAGGTGTGCTTCCTGTAATCAAAAGCTCTGTCTCTTTCAACTTGAAGGACACTTTACTAGACCCTGAGGGCAGATATATTGTTCTTACCTGTGACATCACTGCTAACCTGCACACCCTGGTGAGTGTTTTTGCTCTCATTTCTCACCAACAACTTTTTCTTCGCAAGCTATTTAGAAAAACTTCCAGTGTGAAATATAGAAAATCTTATTATTTGTGGGGTCTTTAACCTGACAGTGGACCCACATTCTACTACTCTGACTAAGCGATGTACCCCCTCACTAAGGGCCTAGTTTCACATGAAATATGTACTGTACATGATGTATGATGTCGACAGCATGTTAACAAAAAATCTTTTTTTTTTTTTTCACCTAGACATACTCATGAATTAATCTATTTGTGGTAGATCAGCCTTTTTCAATCTGGCCAGCGGGTGAAACAAGCCTGCCTTCTAGCTACACAAAGCCACAGGTTTCCATTGTGCACTATTACAACCTTCTAGCCACTGGAGTCCTGACAACCATTGACATCATCAGAAGGGTGTTAGTTGCCTGCACAGCATCCTTGTTTGACCCTCCCCTGCCCCTCTCCATCAGTGCTGTGGTCACATTAGCTAAGTAGATGGAGAAAAAACTGAGGGAGAAGAGACACATTGGACTAATACTCAGTACCAGTGTGTAAAGGTGTATTTGCTTTGGAAGAATAAATCATCTCCAATGTTGGATGTCCTACGAGTACAGATATTGCTGCATTATATAAAACTATTAGTATAATTTTTTTACATTTTAGAATGTGGTGCCTCGAGACTCTCCATAATTGTAAAAGGTGCCTCGGGACTGTCCATAATTTTATAGGGTGCCTCAGGACTGTCCATAATTTTATAGGGTGCCTCAGGACTGTCCATAATTTTAGAAGGTGCCTCGGGAATGTCCAAAATTTTAGAGGGTGCCTTGACATTGTCCATAATTTTAAAGGTGCTTGGACTTAAAAAAGGTTGAGAAACACCGTGGTAGGTAAATGGATGTTACAACAGATCCCCTCCACAATTTCTGACATAACTTGGTCAGATCATACCATTATCATAACTACGGAGGAGAAGAATACCTGTCCCCCTGTGTACCTTTGTTGCTGCACAGCATCCTGCTTTGACTCTGCCCCCCCTGCCCCTCTCTTATCCAGGGTGCTCGGGACTGTCCATAATTTTAGAGGGTGCCTCAGGACTGTCCATAAACTTTAGAGGGTCCAGGATAATTTTAGATGGTGTCTCGGGACTGTCCATAATTTTAGAGGGTGTCTTGACATTGTCCATAATTTTAAAGGGTACTTGGACTTACAAAAGGTTGAGAAGCACTGTGGTAGGTAAATGGATGTTACCACAGATCCCCTCCACCATTTCTGCCATAACTTGGTCAGATCATACAGCCATTATCATAACTGCGGAGGAGTAGAATACCTGTCCCCCTGTGTACCTTTGTTCCTGCAACACCAAGGTACTCTAGACTCATGGTAACACTGCTATGCTCTTTCAGCATCTCCGAGACAACTTCCACACCAATACCCCCTTGGTCGCTGATGCCTTCCTACTATGGAATATCCACAAGGCTTAGATATGGGGAATAATCATACAAATTAGTATGAGAGCCAAATGATAATACAACTCATGTCCCACCAATGTCTTAGCTGCCATACACGATTTGGAGAAAAAGTGGAACTACAATGCTTCTGAGCACCACAAACCAAAAACATTATTTAAAGATAAATAGAGCTTTTTTTTTAACCTCCATTATACTTATCTAGGTGGATGCAGCATTGGTCCAATGCTGCATCTGTCCCCCCGCTGGCTCTAAGGGTGAGAACTCAGCGATCACATGACCACTGAGTTCTCACAGCTGCTCTGAGCAGAGAGCGGTGACTGACAGTCACCGCTCCTTGCTCAGCCCCCCCATCTCCCAGAGCTCACTGAAGTGCTGGGCTGTGGAAGGAAAGGAAGTGGTTGGTTGAGAGGCTGAGCCAGGTGCCACTCCAGACTCTAGGGTGGATCCTGACTTTAAAGTTGGGATCTTTCCCCAGCTTGGACCAACAGAGTGACGTCAGCTGACAGCAGGCTTCAGCATGTTGTCGGCTGAAAATGAGTCATAGGAGTGCAGATCGAACTGCACTCCTGTGATCCACAGAAGTACAGCCAAAAAAGCTTTTGTGGCAGCACCCAGATATTGCAGAGTTCCGCTTTAAACTTTAACATTTCTAACAGCCTCTGTTCGTAAGGTCATCAGCTCACTGATTCAGGAGTGCGTTTCATACAGAGTGCAGGATTCAGGGATGAGCTATGTACAGAGTGCAGGATTCAGGTGTGTGTTTTTTATACACAGGGCAGGATTCAAGTGTGTGTTTCATACAGAGTGCAGGATTCAGGAGTGTGTTTCATACAGAGTGCAGGATTCAGGGATGCGCTATGTACAGAGTGCAGGATTCAGGTGTGTGTTTCATACAGAGTGCAGTGTGTTTCATACAGAGTGCAGGATTCAGGGATGCGCTATGTACAGAGTGCAGGATTCAGGTGTGTGTTTCATACAGAGTGCAGGATTCAGGAGTATGTTTCATACAGAGTGCAGGATTCAGGGATGCGCTATGTACAGAGTGCAGGCAGGTGTGGATTCAGGATTCAGGAGTGTGTTTCATACAGAGTGCAGGATTCAGGGATGCGCTATGTACAGAGTGCAGGATTCAGGTGTGTGTTTCATACAGAGTGCAGGATTCAGGAGTATGTTTCATACAGAGTGCAGGATTCAGGGATGCGCTATGTACAGAGTGCAGGATTCAGGGATGCACTATGTACAGAGTGCAGGATTCAGGTGTGTGTTTCATACACAGGGCAGAATTCAGGTGCATGTTTCATAGAGAGTGCAGGATTCAGGAGTGTGTTTCATACAGAGTGCAGAATTCAGGGATGTGCTACGTAGAAGTTAGTTAAACTGCAAAGACACTAATTAAACATACACTTACATTCTAAAATCTTGATTAACAGCATACAGGAGCCGAGGCAAGAATGTAGGCATCAGATGGAGTGTAGCTGAGCAGGACCTGCAGCAGTTTGAACATCCAGGACAGCCAGGGATTGGCGAACAAGCCAGTAGGGGTATGGCTGTAATGAGGAAGAGTACAGCTGTCAAGTCCAACCTGTGATGTTAGGGATGGGCGGAGCCAATATGCGTTTCAGGGGCTCCACCCCCCTTTTAAAGACAAACCGTTCGTAGACAGCCGGCATTTATACAGTGCCAACTGGGAAAAAGGTTAAAAGCGGCAGGACCAATTGGAACTACTGCATGTGCACCCACAGCGGTATATAATTTCAGGTTTATTATGCACCGCTGCAGGTGCACATGCAGTAGTTCCAATTGGTCCTGCCCCTTGTCACCGTCTTCCCTGGCCAGCACTGTATAAATGCCGGCAGTTTGTCTATGCAGTGCTTGCTTGACAAAGGGGACGGAGCCCCTGAAACACATATCAGCTCCACCCATCCCCAACATCACAGGATGGAGTTGACAGCTGCGTGCTCTCCCTCATTGAGGCTGCAAGCCTCGCTGGTTTTCCCACCAATCCCTGGCTATGCTAGATCTTCACACTGTTCACACTGCTCCAGGTTCTGCTCGGCTGGAAGACAGCATATAAACAATAGATAGAGTAATGCAGGACAAAGCCCCTGTACACCCGAGCCACAGGCCAAAGGTGAAAATGCAGGAAAGTCCCACCCAATCTGGGACTGTTGGGAGGTATAATATTAAAGCGGAGTTCCACTCACACTGTAAAAAATTAAAAGTCAGCAGCTACAAAAACTGTAGCTGCTGACTTTTAAAAAACAGCCACTCACCTGTCCCACGATCCCGTGCTGCCCCCGCCGCAGCCCGTTTCACTGGCTGTCCTGTATTCCAGGTGCCAGCATCTTCAGTGTGTGCACACCCAGCTTGTGGCTTCACGGCCGGGTACCCATTGCGCATGCACGAGTAGCGCTGTGTGTTCCTGAATGGCCCCGTCATCTTCTGGGACCTGTCACGTGTCCCACAAGACTTCGGGGAGGGACGGTAGGAGGACAACAACTTATGTTTCCGATCGCCTAGGCGATCACAGCGGAAGTGGGAGCGGGTACCTGTCAAATTCAGGTACCTGTTCCCCCCTGCTCCCCAAAGGTGCCAATCCTGAATGGGAAGCGGGGGACCAATCTTTAGAGCGGAACTTCCCCTTTAGGGTGGAACTCCGCTTTAAGTCTATGGTAACGCCAGGTGACCAGACTACATATCCCACAATCCTCTGCTTTCAGGCAGTGGCTTTTTCCTCTGCATTCAGGAAGTGATGTAATTATCTGTTTATTGACCGCTAGAGGGAAAGTGTGTCATGTATGGCACTCAGAGGAGCGTCCCTGATTGAAGGTAATAACACAGCCAGCTACATCAGCAAAACATTTTTTTCAGTTTTTGATGAACAAAATTCACACAAAGTTCTAATTATCCGGCAATGCAGAAGGTGTCCATGTTGCAGTACAGTACTTCCTTCCTTTGACAGAGACAGGAACAGGAAGACATGAGAAATACCAACACCTTTTAGTAATTTAACTTTAAAGGAATTCCATGTGCCCATTTGTTACTCAAAGGGGACAACAAGCACATACTTGGCAACTGAAGGCTATATGCTTTCAGAAAAACAGGAAAAGATAAAAGTAATGATGCGGAAAGTCCAAGCAGGAAGGAATTTGGCACTTTGACATACTATTTTACCTTTGCATACCATGTATTCTGAAAACATAACAAACAATTATGTAATGCCTGAAGAATGGCGAGTTCTATTGTTGTTAAGGAAGTAAACGTACACATATACACAGGCAGACAGAATTATATTCAGCATTTGCCATGCTAGTATGAGTTATGTTGCTCACTTAATAGCCAATGCTTTAGTATTTGTTTATCCTGCAACAAGAACATTAACCACTTGCTAACAGCGCTATAGCCGAATGACGACTACAGCGTGGTTGTTCAGTTCTGGGAGGGTGTCATATGACGTTCTCCCAGAACGCACCCTCCCGCGTGCCCCCAAGGACATGCACCCAGCAATCTCCGTGATCACTGTGTCCTATGGACACAGCTGATCACATGATGTAGAGAAAGGCCAATCACAACGGCCTTTTACCACGTGATCAGCTGTGTCCAATGACACAGCAGATCACCAGGTAATTACAGTTGCTGGTTGTCAGCTGCACTTTGCTCATGTTGTCACAGTGTGAGGAAAGTACTGCCGAAGAACCAGCAATTGTCAGTGAACAGATTGGCACTGATGATCAGTGCCCAGCAGTGCCGCTCACCTGTGCCCAGCAGTCACCTGTGCCCAGCAGTGCACCCCATCAGTGCTGCCCATCAGTGCCCAACAGTGCCACCAGTCAGTGCCCAGTAGTGCCACCTATCAGGGCAGCCTCATCAATGCAGATCAGTGAAGGAGAAAAATTACCTGTTTGCAAAATTTTTTAATAGAAACAAAGAAAAACTTTTTTTTTGCTATTTTTTTTTTTAGTGCAAAAAATAAAACACCCAGTGGTGATTAAATACCACCAAAAGAAAGATTTATTTGTGTGAAAAAAATGATAAAAATTTCATATGGGTACAGTGTTGTATGACCGTGCAATTTGCATTCAAAGTGTGACAGCGCTGAAAGCTGAAAATTGTGCTGGGCAGGAAGGGGGTATAAGTGCCCTGTAGGCAAGTGGTTAAAGAGACCCTGTCACCAACATAAAAAAATCACAAGTATAAGTGCAGAAAACTCCAGTATTTTTATTGTTTACCTGAAACATTTTGTCTTTAGCCGCTTCCCGACCGCCCTATAGCAGAATTACTGCTACAGGGCGGCAGAGCTGTGCAAAATCACATATATATACGTGATTTTGTATTTACGGGTAGGGGGGCGCGGATGCCACCATTGGCGGCTACAGCTGTCAATCACCGGGTGCTGGACGGTGATTCCTCGCCGGCACCCAGCGATCACCGAGGTACGCTGACAGAGGAGAGGTCTGTATGTAAACAATACAGGTTTCTCTCCTGTCAGCACCAGCACGCTGCTTTGTATTGCTCTGCAGTAAAGAACAGCACACAGTTAAACAGCACACAGTTAACCCTTTGATCACCCCAGATGTTAATCCCTTCATGCCCAGTGTCATTAGTACAGTGTCAGTGCTTTTTATTAGCACTGATCACTGTATTAGTGTCAGTGTGAATGTCAGTGACAGTTAGTCAGTTCCCCCCCAGTGTCAGAATGCCCACCGCAGTCCTCCTATAAGTCACTGATCGCCGCCATTACTAGTATAAAA